TCAATATATATGTACTTATGCACATACATAACATGCATGTGCATAAGTACATATATATGCATATACACACACCCACAGTACCACACGCATATGTGTGTGCACACACAGAGACACAGACACACATGCATACACATATAAACACATATATACATAAATATGCATGTGTGTGTGTGGTGTGTGTGTGTGTGTGTGTGTGTGTGTGTGTGTGTGTGTGTGTGTGTGTGTGTGTGTGTGTGTGTGTGTGTGTGTGTGTGTGTGCGCGCGTGCGTGTGCGTGTACACATTCATGCACATCTATATATGAATACATTTTTACCTCCTTCACTCGCACTGCCTCCAAGATCATATATTAGCTAAATATTTTTTTTTTACCCCATCCACCTGTTCAAAATATATTCATGAAGTCACTTTTCACATAGCCTATATTTTAGCCATGTTCATTTAGCATGATCTATGCATGTGCAGTTGGACATGGTTAAATCAACTATCGATATTTTCACCACACATTGCCCACGTGACACGAATACCTATATCTTTAGCCAATTATCTGTATAAATTACTCCCGATAATTATGTCATTAATGATACAGCGTTGTGATAAGTGTAGGAATAAAGTAATTATGATGAATATGAATGAATATGCAGGATCATTTGATTTCAGTCATAACCTCTGTAATTATCACCTATAACAGTTATGATTATTACTGTAATTATGTCAAAATCATCCTGGCTGGGATCAATATTTCTGTTCATGTTAGTAATGATATCTATTATCATTATCATCAATATCGTTGTTATCATTATCACAGTCTTTTCAAGGATTATCATCATTATCATTTTCATCATTATTATTATAGTCATTATTATCATTTTCATCATTATTATTATAGTCATTATTATCATTATCATCATTATGGTTATTGTTAGTATTACTATCATCATTATCTTTATCATTATCAAATGTAATCATCATTATTATTATATGTAATCATCATATATGTCATCATTATTATTATATATGTCATCATTATCATCATCATTATCATAACTATTATCTTTACCATTATCATTGTCTTCATCTTTAACATTACCATTATCATTACCATCAACATCATTATCATTATTATCAGAATCAGTAGCATCATCATCAATATTATTATCATTATTGCTATTAAAATTATCATTAATCAGTCACTATCATTATCATTATCATGTAAAGATTAACACGCCCTTGGTATTTTTATATCCATTAATATGCCCTAAGTACATAACATAGTGCGCATGTGTAGGAATATTCTTGATAACGTTAATGATGATAAAGTTGGTGATATGTTAATAATGATAATGATAATGATGCTAATAGGTTAATAATGATAACGATAATAATGATGTTAATATGGCAATAATGATAATGTTAATAATAATGTTAATATGTGAATATTAATATGTTCAAAATGATAATGTTGATAATAATGCCTACATGTTCATAATGACAATGTTGATAATAATGTCTACATGTTCATAATGATAATGTTGATAATAATGTCTACATGTTCATAATGATAATGTTAATAATGACGATTATATTTTGATAATGATAATGTTAATTGTTAATAATGATAGTAAAAGTCTGGCGAAGTAGCTTTTAGATTATCAAGGAAAATGGAAAATAGTAGTTCGTTGTATTATCAAGATTAAAAACAAATCTACAAAAACAATTTTGTCACGTGATCAAGGTCCCTCTCAGCTGATTTCCCATATTAGGAAATCTGTGACCCCCTTGTACCTGAAACACCCTATGAGAAGGGAAGCTTTGTATCTTTTAAAATTAAAAGATGAAAAGATTTAGTTTGAATTCCGTTTGTTACAACGGATATTCTTTGTGACATGTTTGTTTTGTTTTGCTTCTAAATCTCCCCCTGTGTGCAAGGAATGGCCGGGGTTACCATTCACTAGCAGCGCGCAGGATCGAACGCAGGTCAGCAAGATTGCAAGCTCAGCACGTTCACCACTGCACCATACAGTACGTTGATTGAAGGTTGGTTGAGCTCCTCTCGCGTGCTATGTACAGGTTCTTGATTGTGGTAAGGTTCTAAGGGGTTCTGCAGGCGAAGGACACTGCTAATCACAAGGGCACACGAATGTAAGCAGTCATTACACTACAAACGACATAATGATATAAGTAAAAATTATATAGTAATGAGATTGTACTTTGTGACTTCTTATAGTTTACTTCAGGCGAGGATCCAAAGCGGTAGGCCTACTTTTGGGACATTTTTTTTTAGCCAAAACTTGTGAAGGAAACAGCTATGCCCCGCGCACCAATCACCAACTGCTCGACTAGACTTTTTTATTATTATTCCAGTAGCCCAGTAGCCTTTGACTTCCGATACGTGTATGTATGTGATGAGTACTTCTGTGGTTTCCAAACCTCCTGCAAAACACTTTACGACTCTTGCTATTGTGATTGTGCTTTGGCCTCCATCTATGCGCCCCCCCACCTTCCTCTTGGATTCGCCCCTGCACTTTAAAGAGTATGTTGTGTGCTATTATATTCTGCAAAAGAGACTACCATCTGTGAAAACCATTGTCCTCTTCGACATGTTCTGACTACTTCACACATCGACATCAAAACACAATCAAAATAAAACTCTATTGTTGTGTTAATAAAAATTCTATTCCTCCCGAATAAAGCTTCAAATGTAGGTAAAATATATTTATATATTCGCCACATTTAAGAATTAGGAATCATGTTTATTTATATTTTCGATCGGTTACAGCAATATCAGTCGCGGCAGATATTGCGGGATTTTGGTTGTTTAGTTTATTTATTTATTGTTTATTCTATTTGTTTATTTGGTTATTTAATTTATTCATTTTGCTAGTTATAACTTTTTCCATGTTCGTGGCATTGTGCCTTACCTAAACATCATGTAGAAAAGGTTTAACAGGAAGCATCAGCAGCTCTATTAAATTCTCGTTCTGACCGCTATGACAAAGACGATTATTCAATACTTTAGGAAATGGATAATTCCACTGCAAATTAAATTCTTGCCATGAGGTGATTAAGAGCTTCTTGGATATGATATCCGCGGCTGATTTGCATGCTTTCCACCCCGTCTTTCTCGACCTGCTCAATGCAATGCAACAATAGACAATGGAAGAAAAGTCAGTATTGGATAATGCTCAGTATGAATTTAAAAACGTGTGTGTGAGCCATTATGCTGTTCCTCGCAAGTTACTGTGTCTCCGTAATACTGATGGTGTGCACTTGATTCTTCCAGGAACAGAAATGAGTTCAGGTAGTTGTCCCCAAAATCTTTTAATTTGTCTCAAAATCACCTCTGGAGGTAGGTAGATGGAGGCTACAATGTATGCAGTTATCAAGTGTCCCCTCACTGCATTCACTTGTACTTTTGTCTGCAAATGATATGCATTTTTTGAGAAAGTCTTTGGCCATGCTTTAAGCTGACACTGTGTCCTGGTTCATCTTACTAGTGTGACTGCTTGTGGCTTCCACAATATTTTCTTCAGGAGGCTTGATGTGCCTTGGTATACGGGTTAAGCCCTTGTTGCAGGGACAGTTCATTAGCGGAGATAGAACCCATTTCAAAATCAATAAATTCTCTATTTTCCTTCTCGAGACAAAAGCAGAAAGACGTGAACATCCATCGTCTTTTGTTATCGTTGTCATGTCGCCTTTATCACGTTCATTTTTATTATTTTTTCTGTTTTTGTTATCGGCATAATCATCATCGTCGCCATGAGACTTTTCCCCCTTGTTACTTAGTGATAATAAACATTATCACCATCATGATCGTCACAGTTATCACCGCCTTTTTAAAAACCTTATTTTTTCCCTGTGAGAAGTTTTTTGTTTTGTTTTTGACTTACGGAGCCAATATATCGTGAGTTATTTTACTTATATCATCTTAACCGATAACTTTCATGGTAAAAGATCTCATAAAGGTGGACATCATTAAAGCATTTATATTTACGATTTTCCTGATTGACTTCATCTGCCTGTGGGAATTTCGGCGTTCAACTTCAATTTATTCAGCTTATCCAACGGCCTAATTGGTTTGCAAATGCGTACCATTACCTACATGCAAACAGAGTTGATTAATCTTTCAACTGATCGAGATGTTGCTTGTAATTATACTCTCTTATTTTTTTCACAAACCGTCTTCTTTCGAAATAAAATTCTGAGTCATTTTTTCCTTCTTTTTTTCTTTTCTTTTCGGCAAAATGATTTTTTTCCCAAAATTTTCTCGATTTATTCTTTCCTAAAGTTACTATGAAAAGTAGTAATAAATCTTGGTGTGGCTCATTTAATAGTATTTAATATCTCATCAACCACCTTTTCGAATGAATATTGTGCTCACCTTGATAATATTAGTTGCGAAAAAGTCATTCCGTAATGCATATTATATATTTCATTTTGATACCAAGTTTCTTTAATCCATATACCTATTTTTCTACCTCATTCCACAGTACAGATTGTTAGGCGAATCCAGAAATGAAAACCTGTAGTTGCATTTCTCTCTCTCTCTCTCTCTCTCTCTCTCTCTCTCTTCTCTTCTCTCTCTCTCTCTCTCTCTCTCTCTCTCTCTCTCTTATCCAGTTATCTCATCACTCGAAGTTACAGACGATGTTTATGCAACATCCGATCTAAAATTTATTGGCAATTTCTTCCTGATCCCCTTTCACCCAGCCGTTAGTTACTAAAGAACGCTTAATTGTGCATGTATACGCACACCGGTTTCTATATCGCAAAATATACACGAAACCTATTAGGGGGATCTAAATATTCAGCACTGACTCATTCATAAGAGAATTGCCAGCTTTTCTGCAAACTATGTAATGAGAAACAGCTGCGGATCACCCATTATAGATCCACACGAGTTAAGAGCGAAGACATGTGTTATTTTTCATGAATACACGACTTGCAATTTAGCCCGAGGACGCTCCAATAAATGTCCACGTCGACTGGAATGTGGACTTAGAGACAAGGGCCGCAGCTCTCACCTCACTCCCCGTCGGGCCGAATCCACGCGCACTTCTGCTCGAACTCGCACCAAGGGAACACTCCCGCTTGGCTGCTCCTGCGACGAGGCGGATCTCGAAAGCTCACTTCGGAGGCGTTGATACTGTTCTCCCAGGATGAGGTAACGGGCTTTTGCGGAGTTACTGCTCGCTCTGGGCTGGAGTTGTTCAGTGGTGGAAGTAGGCTGGAAAACTATGAATTTCGAAAGATATTCAGATTCACAGAAGGCCTGGAAGAGGTTTATATATTTTGAGAGAGATACATAGATAGATATATAAACGTGTATCTCTCTCTATATATAATGTATGTATATGTATATATGTGTGTGTATATATATATATATATATATATATATATATATATATATATATATATATATATATATATATATATATATATATATATATATATATAATACATATATTAATACATATATTTATTATATATATATATATACACAAACACACATGTACATATACATGCACACGCACAGACATACACACACATGTACATATGCACATGCATATATACATGTGCACACATATGTACATACATTTACACACATGAACACGTGCGCGTGTTTGGTGAGAAGAGGAAGGTGTGACCTTCAAAGTCATGCATCTAGATAAATCCCTTTACAATTTCTGCGTTTTTCTATGTACATATTTTCAGATAATAATAAATATCCATACATATATTTTGGCGGTAAACTTTCACAATCATTATGCGAGTTTTATACCACGGCAACGGAACTGAGGCATATACACTACCGTTTGTATGGATGACAGGAGCTATTTACAAAAGCTTTTCGTGTAAACAGTCTTTTAGATTATGATTAAACAGAAAGGTGTTTCAACAGGTTCCAGTAATGTTTGCTTAGGATAGTTTATCAAAGTGTTCAAAGTTTCGGAGATGCTACAACAAAGTCCAATATTTAGAACAATTGTTAGTTACTATGAACACTTTGATGTTTGGACCACAGATCGTTCAAACACGTCTGCTCGATGTTTTGAAAACGCGCTATATGCCACACGGGAAAGGCTAGATCAGTAGCAACTCGAGGTGTCACGGAGTGTTTTGATGCTTGTTCACTGAAAGTATAATCATTAAAATCATAATTTTTCATCCTTTTTGAAATCCGAAGCGACCAAAGTGATCGACCATATTCACCAAGTACCCGTAACTTTTGCAACGTCATCAAAATAAACCCCATGTGCTTTTTTTTTCCAAAAATAGAATCAGACGCCATGACACCACCTCGAGTTGCTAGTAATCTAGCCTTTCTCTAGTAGCGATTTAGATTCTAGTAAAATAAAACACAGTATGGACTTAAGTTTCAAAGTCATTGTTTAAGAAACTATATGCTTTGATTAGAGTCCACTAGCTCCGCAGTCCCGAAAATAAGCTTTGAACATTCTCCATATAATTCATGAACGCTTCTTCACTTGTTGCTTGACGATGTGGCAGCTTTAAATGTTGAACTCTAAAACATCATAGAACTCATGTGGGTGGAACTTCCTATTGCGAAACTGTTCCCTATGCTAATTTCCGAATGATAATTCCTGTTGGAGTGAATATTGCGTTTTTTCTTGCTTGCTTGCCTTGACTTGGCTAATTAACCTACACTGATGGGGGAAAAGGTTTTATATTATTTTTGTTGAAGTTTAAATTCTGAAGGTGGATGTACATCTCTGTTCTTTTGAATAATGGTTCACTTGCTCTTCTACTTTATTATTTTTATTATATTTTATTTGTTTATTTATTATTTCTACTTTTACATGCTTGTCCTTTCGGGCATAATGTATTTTTTTACTGGGTGATATATATATATATATATATATATATATATATATATATATATATATATATATATATATATATATATATATAGTCTAGTTACACGCTTGATACTTTATTGCTTTGTTTCTAGTAATTTCTGTCGTTCATATGTTGACCTTAATTTTCTGCACTTTTGATAGGATTTACAAATAAAAAATACATAAAACCTTATTCGCAATTCCCACGAGTTTAAAACTTTTGTAGGATTCTCGGTCTCTGAGTAGAAAGCTTCGTTGCATGCAAAATTCCTTCCAATTTACGCAAAATATGAATTTTGCAGAAACAGTTAGTGCGTCTATTGGCTGTCTTGTCAGTTCCAGTTTTGTTTTATTTATGAACATTTAACTGCCACGTCGATACTATGGGAAATATTTATACATTTACAATAATACTTTCTTCAATCTTTTCTTTCAGACTGCCTCTATCCTTCCTCTACTGTCTCTGTGACCTTCATCAAGACGTATACATCAAGACTTGGATGTCTAGCATATATGTTGATTAATACTATTTTACTACTTGTTTGTCCCTGTTTGTGGTATGGCTAGAAAAGATTACGAAGTTGTTTAAAATGCCAAAAGAAAAAGGTCTTTTTCTACAGCGTCTGGATCGTCACGCATGCTTTGGAAACCATTAATTTACAGGATAGATATATGTCTATTGTTGTTAAGGCCCTATCACACTTGCTCTCTTCCCGTCAATTTCTTTCTCCGCAAGGATCGTCTACAAACGGAACGCCTCCCAGACCAAGACGGTTACGACCGTTTCCGTCTGACTAATTTCTGTGTTGATCTTGTGCTATTAATATATTATATATGATGAGTGACTGTAAACACAAGCTAATATTTTAGAACATTCGTATATACAATAAACATCATCATATTTCTTTAAAATACGAGTAATATGCATGAGAATGTTCGTGTGAATCCCGGGACCTCACTCCGATAGCGCCATGTTTGTTTACATGATTTTCATAAGGAGTTCATTCGGAAACGCAAAAAAATGACGGAAAAAAGTGCTAGTGTGATAGGGCCTTTACAGATATCTAGACCTATATAGAACACGGTTATTTCTTAAACCCTTCTCTTCGCATGGCTATGATCCTTTGCATATAAACTGAAAACTTTATATCAGTACAACGACATAACGAATCATGATTTGGATACGAAACGGCCTAACATCAGGGTATTTTACAGTAGTTATGTAAAAGTCATAAAACTGTTAAATTTCACAGGGTTCAGTTGCTGTTGTGCGTCCTAGGTGCTGTAGGAGCCTTGGGGT